GGTACTGCTCGCTTTGTTTAGGTTCAATGATACCTTATTGCATGCTAATTAAGGAGAGCTTTATTTACATATTTCATTCAGCCTTTGCATCCTTATTGTTGAGATATTAAGGATTGTGCACATAAACGGATGAAAGCTATTGCTAATTGCTTGGCTTCTAAACTGGTTATTTTAATTTAATTTTGCTGACGTCATTTTATCTCATAATATCAAAACTTATAGGTCCTTCACGTCTCCCCTTTATTACTCTTTCCTTAAAATGTCCTATCAGGCGTTCCATATCGACCCAGCCCACCCACAGCCTCCCCGGGTGCAGGACAGCAGCGTTTCTGTCGACAAGTAAATCGTACTCGATTCAAGGGCACCAGCCGGCTAGGGAATGATGGGGTCGTCGGCCCCCGATCTGGAGCAGGTAGGTCAACTTTATTTTACGTTGAGTCTCATTTTTTGGATTTTATATCTTGCATCATACTTTTAAGTGCTTTTGCTAGGTTTTCATTTTTTAGATACAATCAATAGTATGATAGCTTTATTCACTCGAGCCTGTACACTGCTTCTAGTCATCTTTCAAAAGTTTTTCTTGTTATTAGGCCTTTTTTATGAGTTTCATGATTGATTCTTTTTATATAACTATGCACCACGTTTACAATCTTTATAATTTGTTTCACTATTTAACTGAGTTTATGTGCTCTCATTTTAAGTAGTGTTCATCTTTTGTATTTCCTCCCTAATCCTCCAGCTTATATCTTTATTCAAATATTTTCGAATGCACAGTATATTGCTTTTTGGTTTCACCATTCTTTTTATTTAAATACAACTTATCTTTCGTAGATATGAAGATCAAGATGGTGTGACCTGTTTGGTGTTGGCTCGACTTTGTCTTTGCACCATGATTAGATCGTCAGGGAGACCTTGTGGAACGTACCCAGTTCTGTATTCTCTGCCATAGTTTTCGTGATTTCCAGCATTGAACCATTGACGTTTGTCACTTTGATAAATGCCTACAATGCCGGCGAAACGTTTGGGAATGCACCAAGTCAGTGGTCCAATGCTGAAAGTCACGAATACTATGGCAGGACATGGGACTAGGTACGTTCCACAATGTCTCCTTGACGTTCCAACCAAGTTGCAAAAACAAGGTCGAACTAGCACAATTTATACTTGATGTTGGAGTACCTTTCATTTCCTTTTAAGAGGCGAGTGGAAGAGTGGAAGTGTAAGTTGCATTGGAGCTGTGGTTGTAGATTTGTGCGAATGAGTTTTCGGCACATTGCCCTGCGACCCTAATGAACCCTTGCTGCGCTTTCACCCGTCATATGACTGACATTGTCAGATCAGTACACCAAGCTTAACGATAATTCACCAAAAACACGAATGCAATAAAGATGACCGGCTTCAAACCTACTTCCTTCTTACAGTCGAATTTGGTCCACTTAGGCATCTCATGTTTTGGTTGGATGTCCTATGCTTTGCCTATATGTTTGTTCATAAGTTAAGTGGCTGAGGATGACGTGAAGTGGCTGCAGATAAAGCGTGAAATGGGTGCATTTGAAACCGAACAGCTGCATCCTCCCCTAAAACACTTATGCCTTTGATCCTGCAATGTTACCGCATGTGATTGCGTCCCATTGAACGCGTGTTGTGAGGGCATTGCTCTTGAAATGGATATTATGTGAGAGTCTAAACCAGATTCCAGCCTAAT